GTCTTCTGCTGTGGCTTCCGCGACCACAAGTACTGCTGCGACGACCCGCACAGCTTCTTCCCCTACGAGCACAGCTACATGTGGTGGCTCAGGTACYGGCCCTGGCCCTAACCCCACCTCCAACCCCACCAGGGTCTTAACCCTCTAGCCCTACCTTCAGCTCATGCGCTGGCTAAGATTCAACCTTCATCTAATGTCCACCTAAAGATTGCACCAACCCCCATCCCATCCTTAGTCTTCAAGCTCAGTGCTGACCCTATTCCCACCCTATCACCAACTTAACCTCCCCCTGAAACCCCATCTCAGCTCAGTTCCCTCATCCTTACCCTAGCCMTTGTTGAGAAGTGTTCTTGAACGTCACCCCAACTCTTTCCACCAACCCTCACCCAGTTCTCATTTCAGACTCCATTCTACCATCACCTTCAATYCAACCCCAAATCACATACCAATCCTTACTTTAACAGCAAATTTACATCTTCAAACATCCACAGGAACCCATACTCCACCCCAATCCTCATCCAAATGCCTGCCAGAGTCCTCTTCCYGATGTCAACACCAACCTCATCCCTGGTTCTACCCACTCCCCAATATTGATCCCAGTCCTTATCTTCTCTCCAGCCCTAACTGCCTCCTYAAGGCTGGGTGCAGTCCACTTCAGCTCTTCTTCCACATCCTGGCTCCAAATATGTTCTAGACCTACAAGGAAACCTCAACTTCAAATCTTAATCCTCACCTGATGCTACACCCCCACCCCAGCCTCAACCCTTTCCTTCCCTTTTATACTTATTCTTTCACCTACCCCTTACTGAACATGTAGTGTGTGTTGAGCCTCATGTTGCATGCTGGGCTTGTACTCCATCCTCAAGCTAAGACAAAGGACCTGAGGTTCAGAGCTGCCTCCAAGTTCATCATGACACAATGGCATAATGTCCTAATAACAGGAGTGTAGTTTGGGTGAATCTCTACCCGTAGAACTCCARTTTTCCAATTGTTCAGGGAAGGAGTTGGCTAGGCGCTCTGACATTGCTGGAACTAAGTATGGTATTGAGGAGGCAATAGGTCTCTMTCTCTCTGGGTCTCCAAAAGCCTCATCCAGAGAATGGGACCTTATCCTCAGCCTCCTCTGGGAAATAGACATCAGCAAAAATAGAATTATCTTAAGAAGATAGTGGTTTTTCCTGTCCCTCGAGGTATATGAGCTACATGCCCTCTGGGTGAAAATGACAACACTGAAACCTCTCTGGGGCTGTGKCTTTTCATCTCCCAAAAGAGGAAAATGATCAATCACTACCGTGATTTCTAACTAGGGTAGTGGCAAGGATAAAATAAGATAACAGAGGTGAAAACAACTTGGTATGTGCCAATGACAGTTACAAATATTATTGCCTTGTCTAGACTATTCAATGTGTAACTCTGAAAATTTTCAGATGGTCAGGTTATAAGATTCTGCACATTTGGCTGCTGTCTAAACCCAGAGAATACTAATTTATTGTCTGTTCATTCGTGTATTCATTCATTTACCATACCTTTGTTTTATGTCAAAAACTTTGAAAGAACTGAGGACACAAAAATCAATTATTCCCTTCCCCAGGGGAGCTYCCAATCTATTTAGAGATATGATCCACACCCAAAGAAAAAAGGGAAGTATTTGATGAAGGCTCACTGTGTATTTAGGCCTGAACTGGGAACTGAAATGAGCTGGTGCTGGTCTACCTTTGAAGTACAGAGAAAGTGAGGAGCTTTGGGACTGCTCCAGAATCTGGTCCAAGCCTTGGTTTAATAATTATTCTATATATGGATTGGGAAAGTKGTTTAATCTCCTGGACTCTTTCCTCATTTTCCAATTGGTGATAATACATGTCTTGTGGAATTATTGTAAGGACTAAGTAAAATAAWACATGTGAAAGTGACCAATGCATACAGTAGGTACTCAAGAGAAGAGAGTTCCCTTTCCATGGAAAGTGAAGCTCAGAGTATAAAAGTGAATTGTGGGGGAGTTGTAGCTCAACAGTGAGGACTTGCTTTGTACATGTGAGGCACTATGTTTGAGTGCCAGCACCACATATAAATAAGCAAATAAAATAAAAAGGTCCATCAACAACTAAAAAAAAAACATACTTAAAAACAAAGTGAATTGTCAGGCTGAGGCTGTAGTTCAGTGGCAGAGTACTTCTCTACCACATCTGAGGCACTGGGTTCAATCCTTAGCACCACATAAAAATAAACAAATAAAATAAAGGCATGCTGTCCATCTACAACTACAAAAAAAAGTGAATTGTCAAAGATCTTCTAGCAATATCATAGCAGACTGAGATTTAAAGAACATTACCTAAAACAATCCAAGGGTTAGATGCTTTCATGCAGTCACAACCCTGGAACACCCATTTTCTCTCTGTTTTACAGATAAGAAGACTTGAGAGAGGTTAAGTTACTATCTGGTTGTGCTCCAGTGAGAAGGGCAGAGCTGAAAAATCAGTCTTGTCTGCCCTGCCCCTCCCCTTCCCCCTAAGTCTACACCTAGCCTGACCCTCTTATAACCTGACAGACTCAGATCACTTGAAAAACACTCACTGACCTTCTATCTTCTGAGCACTRTCCTGGCCCTTTCCTTCTTTTGTCACCCCCTCTCCTACACACCTCTTGTGGTCCCTTCCGTTGCCTGGGAAACCCTCTCCCCATGGAGCACTTCAGTGGCTCAGACAGTGCTTTAGAAGAGGGTTGGAAGGAGTGATCTCTGAGGTCACATCCCACACGTCACTGTGACCCCAAGGGCAGCTGAAAGTATCCTGTGTATAGGGCACTTATTCCTGAGCTCAAGCATGGTTTATAAACATCACAGACAATTGCAAAGTGGAGGAAGAGTCCTGAGGGTCCTCAAGACATCTTGAGGACAATTTGAGTGAATTTGACAATTCATTTTTTTTTTTTTTTGTAGTTGTAGATGGACAGCATGATCAGTGTGCCCTAGACCCTGAAATAGCGTTTCTGGCATGCTTCTAACTGCAGGGTAGAAATCTTGTTTTGCTCTGAATTCCATTTGGCCCTTTTCATGAAAACTGGTCCTTACAAACAYAAAAATCTCCAGGTAAGTGTCATTTCCTTAGAGAGACAGTGCTCAAGGAGAATTGCCATCTTTAAAAGAGAAACATGGCTCAGGAAGCAAAGACGCCCTGGGAAGTAGCTGTTGCCAAACATCCTCCATCTGCTTCTTTTTACTAAGATGCAAGCCAAAAGGCAATAGCCTTGCTGTAGGGCAGAGTTGGTGATCAGGCAATGATGCATCTCATTGCATCCTTTGGACACCCAGTGAGATGAGAACCTTTACAAACGAAGATCACAAGTGTAAAGTAGTTTTTCAGGTTATATGCCGCAGAACTAGGATTCAAGCTTAGAACCAGCTGACTCCGAATTGGATTAGAAAACTAGGGTTTTCTAGGCTTCCCCTCCAGTTTTTTCTTAGTGGTCACAGTAGGGTATTTGAGTCAGAACAATGAAATCTACAAAGCTCAAAACCCTAGTTTTCTAATCCAATTTCCACATGGGGCAGGACTCTGACATCATTGAAGGGCATACTCACCAGGTGATTTGTGTAAATCTCTCCCAAGATAAGGAGCTCACTACTTCCTCAGGCAACATCACTATGAGACAACTCTGATTATTTAAAGCTCATCTTATACTAAAACCAGGTTTTCCCTCTTGGAGCTTCCCCTGGAGTTCCCTCTTCTGTCATTGGAGGCTAGTGCCTCTATCCCCAGACAGACCAACAGAGAGTGCCTTTCAGGGACAGTGCCTGCTCCCTGACTGGCCTCTAGTCTGGGACACATCCCTCACTTCTCTCACCCATTCCCCAAGGGGCCCCTTTTAGAGGCCTATTTTCATCTAGCTGCCCATAGATGTCCCTCACAAAGGATGAGGTCCCTATATGAGCACAGGTCTACCAGATAATAGCCCTTTGAACGTTAAGTGTATTTCAAATGAGAAAATTTTTAAGATCCTGATAAAAACTAGAAATCACTACACATTTAATGTGAAAAAATGTGAAAAGGACCAGAAATGAAAAGAGAAAGAAATCATGGGTAATCCAGTCTTAATTTGGGTTCGCCCAGAAGTTCTATGTGGTTTATATGGAAAGTGATCTCAAAAACTACTGGTAAAGGGTGGAGAAGAGAAGAAGTCAATAATGGACCTGTTACAAAGCAATTTACACCAAGGTAATTAGAGCTTAAACTCTTCCAGCCAGTGTAGGATGTGCAACTCTCGGTTATCCCCAAAAGGGTCAGGAAGCTGGGTATTTATATATCGCTTTCAATTAGTCACTGGTTGTGGGATGGTAAAGGGATGGAACACATTAATTATCCCATTCTGAACTGCCCAGTGTGTAGACAGAGCCTGTTGTGGATCCAAGAAAGCCCTCMGGCAAAGAGATATAGATGCTGACAGTTGAACTCTGGACAAATATTCTATAACTCTAAGACCCAAGAGGACACAGACAGGACTTCCACAGCCTGCATTATACCCAGAGACCGCTGTTTAGCAGTTTGGTGCATTTCCATCCAATGTTATATATGTATAATTATGCATATATTTGTGTTTGTTTAATTAAGTTGGGGTTATACTATATATTTAGTAGTGTGTCTTGATATTTCACTTAACATTGTCTCATAAGAATTTATCCATGGTTTTATGTATTATTTGAAAATGTGTCTTAATGGTTTTATATTATTCCATTGCAAGGATGTCCAATAGCTTATTTAGCCATATAAAAATAGACTCTTTAAAGATCTAAGGTGATATTTTTTGTTTAGTTTGATTTCTTAAGAGATGGGGGTCTCACTATGTTTCAGGCTAGCCCTCAACTCCTGTACTCAAACAATCTTCCTTCTTCAGATTTCCAAGTAGCTGAAACTAACAGTGCACACCACCGTGTCTTTTTCTAAGGTACTTTTCATTGGAAATTGAGCATCAAATAACTGTGAGGGAAATCCTGCAGAAATGGCAAGGGCAGGAGTCTGGGACTAGAGTCAGAGGAGGGGATGGACAAGAAAACTAGAGAAGGAGTGGTAGTCACTAACATCAAAGCCTGCACCTCCCTAACCCTTCCTATTAGAGAACATCCCACAGTGCTTGACACCTAGTAGGTACTCAACAATATTTACCAACTGCCTACCATGCGCCAAACCCAATACAAGGGGAGGACAAAGCTGATAAAATGTGGTCTGACTCTGCCTTCAGGGGATATGTGAAGATATGTGGAATACCTACTATGTGTTAAGAATATGTCAGTGTCATTCATTCTTACTACCACCTGTGCTAAGTTTTGGTCACTCTCAATCTTCAGACAAGGAAGCTGAGGTACAGCCTGACTTACAGGTGTACATGGGAAGCTGAGGCAGGAGGACAGCAAGTTCAATGCTGGCCTCAGCAACTTTGCAAAGCCCTAAGCAACTTAGTAAGACCGTGTCTCAAAATAAAAAAAAATAAAAAGGACTGGGAATGTGGCTTGGTGGTTAAGGGCCCCTGTGTTCAATCCCTGGTATGAATAAATAAATAAATAAGGCACATTGTGGCATATGACTGTAGTCCCAGTACTTGAGAAGCTAAGCTAGGAGGAACACTTGAACCCAGGAGTTTGAGACCAGCTTGGGCAACATAGCAAGAACCCTTAAGAAAGAAAAAAAAATAAAAATAAAAAGTTGAATAACTGCAGCAAGGTCCCTTAAGAAAGAAAGAAAAACAAATAAAGAGTGCATGATAACACAGCAAGAGCTCAAAGTAAACGGGTTTCCAGCTGGGCCCTAACCTGGGTTAGTCTGGTTCCAAAGTCCTTTGTTCTTCCTTACCATACCAGCCTCCTAACCAAGAGAGAAGTGTTAACAGTCCTGAGGAAAGTATCCTGAATGGGTTAATCTGGCATGTGGGCAGGATGGGGAGAGAAGGATGACCAAGGAAAGCATTGAGAATAGAACATTTGAGCTGGAATTGTGGCTCAGTGGTAGAGTGCTCGCCTCGTACATGAGACCCTGGGTTCGATCCTCAGCACCATATAAAAATAAATAAACAAAATAAAGATATTGTGCCCATGTATAACTAAAAAAAATTTTTTAAAAATAGAATAGAACATTCGAGAAGGAGTTTCCAGAATAGGTAAGATTCCAATGTGGGGAGATGAGAAATGGGCTTGTGAATAGGAAAGAAAGACAGTAAACCCTAAATAAGCCAGTTTTCTAGAGACCAGATATAAAAAAAGAAAAAAATTCATGGTCTTTGCGCCAAGTTCCTGAGACAGAGCTCCTAAAACCTTGTATTCAAGGATGTTAGGAGAAGCTTTTGTTCTAATAGTCTGTCCTTCAGTTCCTGACACAGAGCCCCCAAAGGGTGATAGAAACACCTTTTGCTCTAATGAGGCAACTCCTAGTGGGCTCCTGGAGAGCTCCAGGTGGGGGCTGGTTGCCAGGGGAACCACCCATGTGGTCAGAGTGCTGGAACTTACAACCCCACTCCACCCCCAACTCAACCTCTGGGGATAGAGACGGGCTGAAGTTTGAGTTGTCACCTATGGCCAACGGCGAAATCAATCCTGCCTATGTATTGAAACCTCCATAAAAACAACAAACAACAAAGAAAAGGACAAGGTTCAAAGTCTCTAAAGGGCTGTGCTCTCAGAGAAGACATGGAAGCTTCTGAGCAACCATCCATATTTTGTTCTACATATTCCTTCCACTGGGCCATTCATTAATAAGCTGGTAAACTCAGTTTTCCCTGAGTTCTATGAGCTTTCCTAGCAAATCAGTCAAATCCAAGGAAGGGGATCATAGGCACACTAATTTATAGCTAGTACGTCAGAAGTATAGGTGACAATGTTGTAATTGGCATCTGAAGTAGGGGAGASTCTTGTGGGATCCAATACTATCTTCAGTTTATTGGGTTAAATAATAGGATAGCCAGCTAGTGTCCACTAGAGAATTGCTTTGTGTGTGGTGGGGGAGACCCACATAACTGGCATCAGAAGTGAATTGAGTAATAAGTGAGGAAAACACTTTTTTTTTTCCTTCACGACCAAGGTCTGATTTGGGCAGAGGCATCAAGGTAGGAGGGTGAGGGTACCAAGAGTGGGAGGAATTTTAGATGTGGAGTTGACACTGATGTGAACAGAAGGACCATGGAGCATGGGTCAGAAATTACCTTGAGGCTGGAAGGACAGCTTGTTTTTAAGTAAGACCTACCATGTGTCTTGCTTTTGAGGGGCAGGGGCCTTTAAGACCATTTCCAATTCCTTGGGACAGGAGCAGGTTAAGGAAAGCAAGGAGGAAAGGAGAGGAGGAAAAAGGAGCACATACTAAGTCCCAGTTACACGGAGACAGTGAGCCATGTCATGTTATGTATGTGGTGAGTACTCGGCATATAGTTGATGCTCACCTATGCTTATGCAYAGAAACTCTGATCAAGACAGGTATGGACAGAACCAAAGTCAAAACTGATTCCATGCTGCTATAACATGGTGTCTCCCAAGCCCCCTGACACTCAGCCCCCGTGTGGTCTTCTCTCCCCAGTGTTGGCGCTCTCGTGGGCCTCTCCATAGCAGCTGTGGTCCTCCTGGCCTTCATTATCACTGCCTGTGTGCTTTGTTACCTGTTCATCAGCTCAAAGCCTCACACAAAATTGGACCCAGGTTTAAGCTTACAGATGAAAGGTAAGGAAGAGGTGTCCTTGTATCCAGCAAGCTGGCATCTTTCCACAGGGTAGATGATTAGAATTGATGTTTGGAACATTTGCCTCCTGAGTGTTCCTGGAATATTCAGAAGCAGCAGCACATTTCTCAGGAGGTTCATGATCTGAACATTTCCATCCTGAATTCTCCCATGTGTTCAGTGTTTATCAGAGTCATTTAATGTAATCACCTCTCCATTTGTCAAAGAGGTTAATTCATGTGGTGGATTTTCTAAAACAATGTTTTAATTCTAGCCCTAAGGGAATACAAATGGATCTTAATATTATTCCAAACAAAACAGAATTAATGTAAAAAATGCTGCTCCCCAAACTCACAATGTAGTCAGAAACTCAAAACAGGATTTTTAAAAAATTATTTTTCATTAGCATAGGCCATCAAGAACCTCTTAGGGAGAAAAAAATAGCATAGGCCATCAAGAACCTCTTAGGGACCAAAAAAAAAAAAAAAAAAAAAGTGTGCTTTTTTGCACATATTTTTAGAACTCCCTGAAAGGAACTATGAAAGAAAAAGTTCCTATTAGCAAAATATCTTTCAGTATAATTTAGTAGACAACACTCAAAATAGGTATTATTATCTCCATTTTACAAATGAGAAAATCAAGGCTGAGAGAGGTTTGGTGACTTGCTCAAGGTGTCATAGTTGACAAATGGCATGCTGAAACCCATCCCATGACTTTCCACCTCAAATCTTCTGCCCACCACACAGGGTCTGTGCAAGTATAAAACTAAGCATAAAATTGTTTGGTACCAAAGTTAACAATTTAAATTAATGTTAAGTTAGTGAAGAWATTGGTTAGGCAAAGTAGAGGAGAAGTTATCCCAGGATAGATAAAACATGGGTAAAGATGTGTGGCAGGACTGAGCGATAACCTTTGCAGTGACAGGGACATCATGGGAAATAAGCCAAGTAGGATGGGAGAGGAATTTAAGCAACAGAAGAAAGAGTAACCAAAAACAACAATAACAACAACAACAACAAAACAGGGAGGGGGCTGGGGATATAGCTCAGCTGTTGGTAGGGCGCTTGCCTGGAATGCTGGGTTCAATCCCCAGCACCACCAAAAAAAAAAAACAAAAAACAAAAAAAACAGATAAGTAGAAAGGGCAGGGTGGTAGTAGCTGAGACTCTGAAGAAAACAAGAGAGAGCTGAATGCCCTTATTTGTAAAAGATTATTTGTAAAAGATTTTGTGTAATTTAACAATAAATAGGCAATAAGCAATAACACAAGAACCCTTCCCAGATCCTGATGCCTACTTGCCTGAATTATCCTGCTGTGGCTGAGCACCAAAAAGTAGGAGGGGTGACTGTCAAGAGCAGAAGGATTTATCTGCTCCCTTTGGAGTCAGGAATTATTGAGAGGTAGTGTCAACTGACTAGGAAAAAATCCCGAATACAAGGACAAATTGTCAAATTTGCCTACATTAAATATGAATAACATAAACACAGCATATATAAATTTGTTTAAAGTAATGGACTGCATACACACACACATACATACTTATATACCAATTTATATATAAACATGAAYATCCTTATGCACTCACACACAATGGATCCTCATTGTGAACTTGTCTACTTGCTAAAATATATTTGTAAACTCTAARTCAATACTTAAGTTCCTTCTGAGGTCACTTGCAAATATGGGCATGTGTAGAGTGGCAAAAAATTTGAGGTGCACATGTTCCCAGTTAACGTTGAACAAGGGCAACACTTTGTCTTTGTGTTTCAACTCTCACACTGTAAACAATTGTCCTCTTTGCAGTCTGTTTAGAGCCATTTAAAAAAAATTTTTGTTGATGATTTCACTTTTATTTATTTATTTATTTATTTATTTATTTATTTATTTATTTATTTATTTTCTGTTCCTAACACTTTATTGGTCACCTATATACCTGTACCCAGTTGGATAGAAAGGGGTCACTATTAACCAGATCCCATGTAGGGGATGAGAAAGTGGAAAGCCTTGGCCTAGTTTACCAGCCCTCCGCCATACTATGGAGTTTGGAAGGGGCAGGTCCTGCCTTTCTTGGGTCARCACAGAGCACCCAGGTAGGGGCACAGATGGAATCCAAGGACACAGGCTCACTACCCGTTTGTCAGCCTAGTTGTGCTTGGAAAAATATTCCTTGCTGTCATCCACGTTGGGCTTGATTGTGTCACTGCCAGGCTTCCAGCCAGCGGGGCCAACTTCCCCATGCTCATCTGTGTATTGGAAAACCTGGACCAGCCGCAAAGCCTCATCCACAGAGCACCCCACGGGCAAATCATTAACAGTGATCTGGCGAAGGACTCCCTTGCCATCAATGATGAAGTGGCCCCTGTAGGCAATACCCTCATCGCTTTTCAGCACGCCATAATTATGGGACAAGCTTCTGGTCACGTCAGCAAGCAGGRGGATGTTCAGGGGGCCCAAGCCTCCCTCCTTCCGCGGGGTGTTGATCCAAGCCAAGTGGGTGAACTGAGAGTCGACAGAGACACCCAGCACCTCGCAGCCCAGCTTGCGGAAGTCCTCAGCATGTTYGCTGAAAGCGATGATCTCCGTGGGGCACACAAAAGTGAAGTCCAGTGGGTAGAAAAAGAGGACCACGTACTTCCCTCTGTAGTCAGAGAGCTTGACCTCCTTGAAGGCACCATCCACCACCGCGGTGGCTGTGAAGTCAGGGGCGGGCTTTCCCATGGGCGCGTTTCCAGAGGCATGACTGCGTGTGCAAGAGACGGACACGCTGAAGAACAGATGCACCGACTCGAGTTCTCAAAGCCGATGATTTCACATTTTAAAATGGCCTTCAAGCCAGGTGTGGTGGCATTTGCCTGTAATCCCACCTAATCAGGAAGTTGAAGTGGGAGGAACACAAGTTCAAGGCCAACCTCAGCTACTTAGTGAGACCCTGTCTCAAAAAAATGAAAAAAAACTGGGGGTTTAGCTCATGGGTAGAGCACCCTCAGTACAATCCCCAGTACCACAGGGTCAGAGGGAAGGTAAAGTCCTCTAAGCCCAGTGTTGAAGTGCTACTTAAATTCATACAACTACTTTGTAGAGCAATTTGGCAATATGGAAATATATACCCTATAACTCAGCAATTTTACTTCTGATTATCTGTCTTAGAGAAATAGTTGCTTCAGGAGAGGACTTATAAAATAGGGTATCATGACAGTCTGTCATAATAGAAATAAACTAAATGCTCACCTGAAGAGAATGGATAAGTAGACTGTGATATAGTGGGATAATAGAATATGATACAGTCATTAAAAGGAATGAAAGAGCTCTAGATACATTATCTTGTTTGCTCTTCATAATAACTGAGTAGGGTATAGATCTGATTAGTACTTTCATTTTACACATATGAAACTGAGACTCAAAGTGAACTAGTTAATAAGTGACAAAGCCAACTCTACCTCTACCCTCCTTCCTTTCCRTTTCCTGATTGCTGCAAAAAGAAAGTCCCTTGACAGTGACAGACACCTTTTGAAACATTACATGCACTATTTCATCTAATCCTCCTAACTACTCTGGTGAGATAGGTATTGTTATCACCCTTCACAGATGTGAAAAACAGTTTTCAGGGAGATTAGATGACTTGCCCAAGGTTTGTGAATTGTRGAGCTGGAATTCAAACGTGTTTCTTTCTGCCTCCAAAGTTCTGGTTTTTCCGTCTCACAGGCCAGGACTGTGGATGCTCCACCCTACTCACCTTGCCCTACCCCTCATACTGCTCACCCGCCCCACCAGCCTTTCTGGCTAAGGGGGATACAATAATTCCACCTTGGCCCTGAGAATGGAAATCAAGCTCCCAATTTTCACTTTGTGCCACCAGCCAGATWATTTAGTTTCTAGGGTTTGAAACAGCATAATAATTCTTGCTCTTTTGTTTCTTATTTTTAAGTTGTAAACTGTATTTCCTGACCTTTTACCCAATGATAGATTTCTCTGTCTTTTGCTCAAACTCAGCTATTAGTTCTTCCTTCCTTACCGTGTGTTCCTCTCCTTTCCTCTGCAATCAAAGCATCAACCCAGGAAGGAGGCTTGGGTCCCTCCAGCATCTGAGTTTATAGGCCTATGACTTTATGTTCACCAGGGCTCTACCTTTACAGATTTTCACTTATGTTTGCTGTCTTGCTCTTCAGTAGGACATATAGAGAGATCATTGCCCCCTTTCAGCAGAGAAAATCAAAGCACAACAGGGAAATGACTAAGTTCATACAGCTAATGAGCTTATATAGCTGGAATGACAACTCAGATCTCTTAGACTAGTAGAGCATAGATCATTGCACTGTTCCTTGGGGTCCTTATTTCTGAGAGAGGAGGCAAGGGTCAGGAGGGGAGTGCCTAGGCAATGGCTCAGTGGACACGGAAAAGCAGTTTCTGACACAGGCTCCTTCCCTGCCCAGGTATTCTGTYCCATCATTCCCACCCCTATCCCATCCCCCAAACTTGGGATGCTATGGAGACTATAACATTCTCACTCTAGTACATGATGAGGAACTAGCTAAATTGGAAGGGTGAACAAGRCCCTACTGAGAATTTTGAACACATGTCCCATTTAACCTACTCAACTACTCTGATGGGTGTTTATTGACTGTTTTGCAGATGAGGMGAATGAATTGAGTATAGAGGTGATATTCCAACCTAGGTACATTTAATGAGGGAAAAAAAAATCCGGCTAGGCATGGTGGCACATGCCTATAATTCCAGTAGTTCGGGAGGCTGAGGCAGGAGGATCACAAGTTCAAAGCCAGCTGCAGCAAAAGCAAGGCACTAAGCAATTCAGTGAGACCCTCTCTCTAAATAAAATACAAAATAAGGCTGGGGATGTGGTTCAGTGGTCAAGTGTCCCTGAGTTCAATCCTGGTACCAAAAAAAAAAAAAAAAAAAACAGAAAAGAAGTTGAAGACAAGAGTTCTGTTTACATCCTCTGAAATGCATTGATGAGGAAGTCATTAACAAGCCATTCCCATTGAC